ATGGGAAACCCTACAAGTCACTGGCTGCAATTTTCTAATACTAATTTTGAAGCAGGGTGTCAATATTTATGCATAAAGTGACCTAGAAAATATGGTCATAATTAAAGCAGTTCACCACAGAGCCAGAAACACAGGCATCTGGTGAGCACTCTTCCTGAGTGTGTTCAAACCACAGCTACAAAGTCAAGGGTCCTTGCTTGGGGTAAGCAGTTGGCCAATCTAATTTCTGCATTGTTCTGAGTCTAATGCCCTGTTTTTCTTATAGAATGTTAACATTCAGAACAGCTTAGGAAAGTGAGTTCTGGTAGAAGTAAAGCATTTATCACTCATGTGTCACTTTTCCCATCCCTATGAGCAAAAGCAACTTATGTGACAAAGGCTTTATTTTGGCACATGGTAGAAAAGGCTTGGTATGGGCGAAAGCAGCTAGGATTTCCCACATCGCAGCAGTCCAGGAGGAGGCGTGGACAGGTGAGGACCAGTGCTCTTCTTTTCCCTGTCCTTTGTACTCAGGGCACAGGCCTTTGAGTGCCATCTATCTTCAGCTGTGTCTTCCTTCGTGGTTAAAGCTGGGCATATCCTCAAAGATACACCTAACCCAGTGGCTGCTAATCACCATGCATCTACAATCTCCTCTCCGGAGAGTCCCCTTAGATGAGCGTCATCTCAGGCTAACATGGAGCACAGTCAGCCTAAGGAAGATAAAGTAAGCGCCTCTTTAAATTCATTATCAAAGCAGAGACTTAAGGCCAGATCCAGTTGGCTACACAGTCACTACCCTAAAGGCGACAGCTCAAGTCAGAGCACATGGTGAATTTTTAGCCAAGTAAAATTATGCAAGCCTGAGATTTTTTTTCTTAAAATCCTGTGCTTTGTATCACTTTGGGAAAATTTTTTATTAACGTTTTAACTGGAAGCAATGAAAATAAGTAGGTTAAAGAAAATACTCTGCTACAAGTGAAGCTCTGTTCTCTAGTTCATAGAACGTTGTTTCTAAGGTACAACTGCATTTTAGGCATATAAAAGCATACAGTTGAAAGCGAGAGATAAAGTCGGATACTTTTGATTCTGTTATCAATTTTAACTGTGCATACTGATTTAGCAAAATGGCAAGTTCGTTTACACATATAAAGTTTGTAAGAAATAAATTTGAAGTCTGATTTTCTATTTTATATGCTGTGGAATGCAATTGACCCCCATAATCTCATAGAGAGTGACACTATTAGGAGGTGTGGCTTGTTGGCATGGGTGTGGCCTTGTTGGAGGAAGTTTGTCACTGTGGGGGCAAGCTCTGCCGTTTCCTATGCTCAGGATACCACCCATTGTATCTGTTGACTTCCTGCTGCCTGCGAAATGCAGGACTCTCAGCTACGCAAGCATTGCTTCTGCCTGCATGCCACCATGCTTTCTGTAGTGATGATAATGGACTGAACCTCTCAACTGTAAGTAAGGCACCCCAATTAAATGTTCCTTTTTTAAGAGTTGCTGTGGTCATGTTGTCTCTTCACAGCAATAAAAACCCTAAGACATTTGCCGTCCTTCTCCATATCCTCAGAAAGACCCACAGAGAAACACAAATGAAAGCAGATCAGGAATCTTGTTTATGGTAAAACTGCCTACAGGGTATCAAGAAAGAGGCTGGTTGTGGTGGAGATACTGTTTCAGAGCAAGATGAGGAAACAAAATGTTAAAATTTGTACCAGAAATGCCATTCTGGGGGAGAAAATGAAATGTCAGGATCAAAGGGAATCCCATGAACCACTACCGCTCACTTCCATTCTAGTTGATCACATGAAACACAAACAGCTGCGGATCTGAGACTGTTCTTCCTATTAAATCTGCAAGTGACTAAATTAGCACAATTCCACTCTCATTTAAAAAAATCCTATTTAAAAAACAGGATTTAGCTTGATTCATCATTTGACCTATTCTTGACTCTTATTTCTTATTTGCAATGGCAAGCTTTTGAAAGCCTGACTTAGTTTACCAAAGTGTTTACCATTGTATCTATGTCCCATCTTGTCCTAAGGGAAATAGTGATGTTTAAAAGCATGGCCGTGTTCCGAAGAGAAAAAGTAAAAGACAAAGAGAACGACAACAACAAGAAGCCTCAGCGACAGCTGTGTGAAAACCGTTGATGACCACTTAGCTTCCCATGCTCAAGATTAAAATAACTGAGTCCAAACACGCTCTCCTGGCTAGTGCTTCGGTGGCTACTTGTCTCCAGTTTGCTTTGTTCCAATCTTCCTGGAAGGACGCCAGGCTAGTGTGAGCCGTGAAGGAACAATTACCACCTCGCCTGGGCATTTTGGCTGCAGAACCTAAACACACTCCAAATTCAATTCAGTTTAGCTAGCCAACTTCATCTTCCCTCACGCCTGTTTCTTGCATAGGAAATAAGTGGAAGACTCTTGAGGATGAGGGCAAGGCATCCACTTCATTTTCATTGTTTACCGGGTCATTCCCATTGCCTTCAACATCTATGCACACCCAAGTGCTTTAGCCCAAAGCGGGGTGTGTGTGTGTGTGTGTGTGTGTGTGTGTGTGTGTGTGTGTGCATGTTTACATACGTTCTGTTCTAACCCTATTTATTAGGGATCTTTAATCCCAACCCCAAAACACAAGTATAGGAATTTACAAGGATAATTAATAGTGTTGTATGCATTGAAATTTGTTGCTCCCAAGAAGAGGATGTGAGGCCGCACTTAGATAGTTCCAAAAGTAATGAAGTAGAAATGTGGTCACCAGATACAACTTTGTCTAGTGAAATTTTGACTGTGTGAGGAGAGATTGGGATACAGCTGGCACAGAAAAGATGCACAGGAAGACAAGCAGCTCAGAGGCCAGAAGAAGCTAAAACAGAACCTTCCCATGACGAACCTGCTGGCACGCTGATTTCAGACTTACCGACTCCAGAATTGTGAGGACATTGGTTTCTGTAAAGGACACAGCCTGAGAGTTCTTTGTCACAGTAATTCCAGGACTCCAACCCAGAGATGCATTGATTTTTTTCACTTGCATTTTTAATTTTTATTTTGTGTATGTATATGGCATAATTGCATATGTGTATGAATGTTCACATGTAGCTAGGCACATTTGTGTGTGTATGTACATGCATGTGGAATCCAGGGGTTTACATGAGAGGTCATCGTCCATCATTCTCTACTTTATGTTTTGAGGCAGAATCTTTCACATGAACACAGAGCTCACTGATTCGTGAGTCTAGCTAGGTCTCCTGTTCTGAGGATCTTATTTCTTCCCCTTCAGTGTGATGTTGGTACTTACACAGCATCTGCTTGAGCACTGAGGATTCAAACTCCAGTCCTCAGGCTCGTGTGGCAAGTGCGTTACCCACTGCAACATCTCCCCAGCTCATCAGTTTTAAAACTCGAAATGGCTGGGTATTCTTTGAGAACACGTAGGCTTTAGTGAAGTGAGAAATATTTATATTTTACCTTCATATTATGTATAGTGACTGCTAAAGCTATATGCACAGTATAGGCTGATAGGAATTGTTGGGGGCTACAGACCCCTGGCCCCTTGACTTTCTTTGCCTGCCTCATACCCTTTGCCTGCTGGAGTGAACTGAGCAAAATAATGTTTTCCTGTGCCTGCAGCTGCTCTGAGCACGAGTCCCTGATGGCAGGGGAGTGGGTTCTGGTGAGGTCTGAAGCTGAAAGATCCCAAGAGCTGAGCCATGGCTATCAATTAAGGATCCCTATATAAGCTTCCTTGGAGCACAGTAAACTTGGTACTCTTGTATCAAGGATGACCCGTGTCCCCGTGTCTCATCTGTGTGTGTGTATGTATGTGTGTGTGTGTTTAGTTCCCAGCTAGTGTGCCATCCCGTAGTGCAGGTGCTATAAGCAATCTTAATTCCTACTCATTTGCTGGTAGTGCCCTTCCCGGGAAATGACGTGTGGTCCAGTCTGAGTGGGCATCCTAATTAACCACAGCTTGTTGTAGAGCTGTGCTGTCTGCCTGTTCTCATCCTCAGCTCTTCATCCAAAGCAAGTTCTCTACTGTCTGCTATTACATAAGGAGACAAACTCTTTTCTTTGCACCCCATTGTACCACAGATTGTCTTCAGAGCTTTACTGCTAATCATAGAAAGTTCTGGTATGTATACATTTTCCCAATACACCACTCTTTCAGGGATTAACGTTTGAGAGATCCTCTAGCCAGAACTCTTTTGTGTTGTAGGTTGAGTCTGCAAGTTGCTGGAGACAGACATGATGCATTAGTGATTGTTGGGGATATTCTATGTGCCTTGCTGTGGACTGCTATTTCAGGACCAGACCAACACTTACTTAAAGTTTTGGTTCTAAGACCTTACTTCAGACCTAATGAGTTTTTTTCTGTGACTAGGTACTGAAAACAGTGTTTTGTTTTTACTGAAAATACATTTTTAGTACAATACACTCTGATTATGGTTTCTCTCCCCCAATTCTTCCCAGATCCTTCCCCACTTCCCTCACTCTACCCAAATCCCCACACACAACTGTCTCTCATTAGGATACAAGCAATAATACTAATAAAATAAAATTAGATAAAATAAAAAACAAACTAGAATAAGACAAAACAAGCCATTAGAAAAAGAGGCTAAGAAAAAGCTCAGGAAATGCATATGGATGCAAAGACACCCCTCTGGGCACTCTGACCCCATCAGAACCAGGCCTCTGCAGCTCTGTGCAGCTCTGTGTAGCTCCGTGCAGCTCTTTGCATGCTGCCCCAGTCCCTGTGAGTACAGGGGTCCACCAGCCCTGCTCTATTTATAAGGCCTTATTTTCTTAAGATTCTCTGTTGAGATAGGAAGTGGCGGGGCTGCATCCCCGGCACCCAGCCATCCGCATGGCTAGCTTATGCCCGAAATAATTACACGGAAACTGTATTCTTTCAAACACTGCCTGGCCCGGCTAGTTCCAGCTTCTTGTTGGCTCGCTCTTAAATATTGTTCTAACCCATTTCTAATATTCTATGTAGCCCACGAGCTGGCTTACCAGGGAGGATCTTAACCTGCGTCTGTCTGGACCGGGAGAATCATGGCGACTCCTCACTAAGCTTCTTTCTCCCAGAATTCTCTTCTGTTTTCTCCACCCACCTAAGGGTGGGCCTATCAAGGGGCCTAGGCAGTTTCTTTATTAATAAGAAATCACTCCCACATCAATTCTCCATTCCCTCTGGCTTTTACACTCTTTCTGCCTCCTCTTCTTCAGGGCTTTGTGAGCCCCAAGGGAAGGGAACTGGCAGAGAGGGACATCCCAGTTAGATCAGAGTATTCCAAGGTCTCTCACTCTTTCCAGTATCCTGAACATTAGCCAGTGGGGTGAAGGCTAGTAGTCTCCAGCTTGATTTTGCCCTGTTCAATGAATTGTCTAGGTGTTGTCTTCAGCAAGAGAACCTCACAATCAGTTCGTGGAGAGCAAGCAATCGCCTTGGCAACAGTCTGGGTTGTTTGGGGATTTCCATGAGCAGAGATCAATTAGATGTAACCCATTCCCAGTACTGCAAGCTTCAGCTGATGATGTGAGATGTCTAACTGGGGCTCCATATCCCGTTAGTTCACAATTCCAGTTACATCACTTTCATAAATGTATATATTTTAGGTTTTCAAACTACCCTTCAAATGGGTCTTCTCAGGTGATTCTTCTACATGAGAGAAAAATTGAATTGATGACCTATTCTAAAAATACCACTTGTTTTTTTCACTAAAAATTGGCTTCATAATTCATTGATGGAGATGTTGACTCTTTGTTATACTAGAAGGGCTTTTAAAATGAACATAGGATAAACATAAAGTTGTAAAAAAGTATTTTTTAATCACTGTAGCCTTATAGCAGCTGATAAACACACTATTAGAAGGAAAAAATCTCAGTGCTCAACAAACAGGGCTGATAGTATCTCCAATCCATCTGCCTTACAGCAATTGATGCGTTGGCAAACAATTATTGACCCAGTAGATTTCGCCAATTACTTCATAATTCTGCCGACCAAGTTCTAGAGCAGCATTGTCAATGAAACCTAATGTAGCGGAAAGAAGAGCAGAGTTCATTATGAAAGATGTATTATCCTCATTATTTCATGAAATTTTCATCAACTTGATTTCTTCCAAGTCTTTAGTTTTGTAGGATAGCCTGATGTTTCCAAGAGTCTCTCTGGCAACAGTTGTGTTGAGGTAGCCAGCCACCAAGATATGCCCACTGGATTTCATACTCTGTGGGCCCTCCTTCTGTGTTAAATAGAACATAGGTCTCTGTTGTGGAATATTATTTTAACTAGGCAAAGATGTGTTACATCTTTGCTGCCTTTGTTAATGATGTAATGATGTATTACATCTGGTTTTGCTGCATCTCTTTAATTATGTAAAGATGTGTTGCATCTGTTTGACCTTGGCTGCCTAAGGCACCTGATTGCCCTAATAAAAAGAGGAATGGCCAATAGCTAGTCAGAAGAGGGAAAGGCAGGGCTGGTGGGCACAGAGAATAAAGTAAAGAGAAAAAGAAATCTATGCTCAGGAACAAGAAGAAAGAATAAGAGAGAAAGAGAGGGAGGTGCCTGGGGCCAGCCAGCAGACACAGAACAGGACAAACAGAAAGAAAGGTAAAAATCCCTGAGGCAAAATGGAGCTGAAGAGAAACAGGTTAATTTAAGTTAAAGAAAAAAAGCTAACCAGAAACGAGCATAAGCTAAGGCCGAGCATTCATGACTAATAAGAAGTCTCCATGTTATGATTTGGGAACTAGTTGGTAGCCCAAAAGAAAGCCTGGTACAGGTGTCTAACCAATCAGATGTTTCCAAAATGGAATGGCACCTTGGAAGTGATATCATAGAAGGTGAGAAGTTTCTCTTGTTTTTTTTCAGCTTGTTTACTCTGGGGTTGGTCCACTGCCATGCCACATGGGCACCTAAATAGTCTATGGGAGACCCTAGGAGCCTTCCACCAACACCCAGGACCACCTTCCTGGTGATGTAAGACAGGCTCCTTGGAAACCAGCCTTCCAGCCCTGCACATCCTTCAATAACCTCCGACTCAGTTGCAGCCATGATTGCAGCATCGTGAGATGCCTTAAACCAGAACTGCACAACCACACACTTGTAATTTCTAACCCAGAAGCTGCATAATAGAGCTAAAACTGACTTGGTGCTTCTCAGCATTGCTGTTGTGAAGCATCAGACACAAATTATTGTAGATACAGAACAGGCCTGCCATGCAAGAGGTCATGGGTTTGACCACAAATCCCACAGAAAGCAACAGAAAGTAGATTTGTATAGATATAAATACAATCCCAAAGCTGTTTGGAAAATGTCGGAATAACATTGGACCATATAAACCCATGCCTCCTCATTTAGTCCTCCAAATCTTGGTTTACAACAGCAGTAATAACGGATTCTGGGAAAGCATTTGGTTGGAAATTGTTACTGTGGAATGAAGGAGAAGGATAGGAGAAAGTCTAGGATTGGAAAGGTCAGTTCTCAGGTTACACACTGAGCCACTGAGCAGGTGTCCACCTTCCCCACTGAGCCAACATTGCAATGGAACTGTTGCCATCAACTGACTCATTTAGAGGACAGTGTTCTTATAAGTCGGGTCACCTACTTTATGGTAGGCCTATCCATCTTTCCATAGAAAGCATTCCCACGTTGTTTCTGTTACTGAGAATTTCAAATAAGTTGAAATAGAAAAGTTAGTACTCCCATGAACCTTTCCAATTTTTCTTGATTATTCTTGTTTTTTTCCTTTTCCATTTGAACTTTAACATTGGCTTGTATATATTCAAAATTAAGGTGTTAAGCCGTATTTTAATGTTGTTTTCTCATATTTAAACTGATAGCATTATTTTTTTAATTTCTCAGAATGAATATTTAATATAGGATGATACAAAACAATAGCTAAAAGACTAGATAGCTTTATATTAATTTATAATCACTAGGAAACTTTTTCCAACAAAAGGGATAAGTTATCATTAAATGTGATCTGTGCAACTACTCAGATGAGAACTCCGATGCCATAGTGTTCTCTCCCTTTTATTGAAAATAGATTCTATTCTCATACAATATATCCTGGTTACAGTTTGCCCTCCCTTTGCTCCTCAGCTCCTCCTCACCTCTCCTCACCTCCAGATCCACTCCCTCTCGGCCTCTCATTAGAAAAGAACAGCAAAACATAACGAAACAAAATATAGTGAGATAAAATTTTAAAACTCACACTGAAGTTGGACAAGGCAAACCAACAGCAGGAAAAGAGCCCCGAGAGAAGGCAGAAGAATCAGAGACACACTCATTCACCCAGGGGTCCACAAAAACACTAAACTGAGAGCTGTAACAAGTACATAGTGGACCTGGTGTGGACCCGTGTCAGCGCTGTCCATGCTGCCTCGGTCTCTGGAAGTTTTATGTGAGCTTTGCTCAGTTAATTTAGAGGCCCTTGTTCTCCTGGTGTCCTCCATCCCCCTTGTTCTGACACTCTTTCCACCCCCTCTTCTGTGAGGTTCCCTGAGCTCTGAGGGGAGGGATTTGATGGAGCTGTGTGTTTCAAGATCTCTCTTTCTGTGTAACATCTGGCTGAGGGTCTTTGTATCTGCTCCCAGCTTCTGCGGGAGGAAGCTTCTCTGAGGATGGCTGAATAAGGCACTGATCTATAGGTACAGCAGAATGTTGTTAGGAGCCATTTTATCACACTTTTTAAGACCGTATTTGGCCGTAGGATTCTATGAGTGATAGATACCTGGACTGTGCTGCACAGCAGCTGGATCCTCCTCTCCGTATTCTTCTCTAACTCCTTTCCCTCTGCTTCCCTCATCTCCCGGTCTCTAATGACCACCTTCTACTCCGTTCTACAACAGAAAGTCTTTAATATTTGAAAAGCCCATTGCTGTGGGACAATGGTCTTGTACCCTGTAAAGATTTGTCTCTTGTACTGGTCTAATAAAATGTCGATTGGCCAGTAGACTGGGCAACCTCAGGAGGATTCTGGGAAGAGCAAAGGTTCAGTCTGCAGCTGTAACCCAGACACAGGGGAAGCAAGATGAGAATGCTTGACTGATAAAAGATACCAAGTCATGTGGTTAACGCAGACAAGAATTATGGGTTAATGTAGGATGTAACAGTTAGTAACAAGCTTGAGATAAAAGGCCAACCAGTTTATGATTAATGTAGGCCTCTGTGTGTTTCTTTGGGACTGAATGACTGAGGGACCAGGACCAGGTGGGACAGAAACGTCGGTCAGCATCCATGTAGACAAAAGTCATAAAAATGTGAAGAAATAAAGATAATTTCCGATTATCATAGAATTGAGAAGACAAATTTTTCATTGATTTAACAAAATAATTAAATTCTATATCAAGACGTGCATCTAATAGAATGGTGGCTCAAAGTCTTCTAACTGAGACTGACATTTGCTTCCATGGTGACGGCTACAACTCAAGGCCTTGGGAAATCACTGGGCCAGAAAAATTCTTGTCGTGAAGTGTGAAGAACTGAGTCCAGCTCCCTAGCGCTCACCCACCCACCCAACAAGCAGGTGAGGGTGTGCACAAGTACACTCACTGTGCTGGAGGGGTGAAGACACGCAGGTTGCTGGGTCCCAGACAACTGACCCTTCCAAATGAGTGAGTGCCTAGTTCAATAAGTGATCCTGTCTCAGAAAGTAAGGTGGAGAGCAACTGAGGAGGACTTTCATCACCAAGGTCTGGCCTACACATCTATCTATATTCTCACTCCCGTACACAGCCACATGAAGATGTACACGCAATGTAAATTTTTAAAAAGAACTCTATAACATTCTAACATTTTCGTTAATTAGGAAAATGTTATTTTCTCCTGTCGGCCGAGACATCAAGACAAAAGCCAGCCTTTATCTATGATTAGTACTGACCTCACATGTAACTTCCCTTTCCAAATAGAAGAACTTTACCACATCTGTATTTAAATTCACGTAACCCATGGACTCTCTCTTGCACTGCAGTTGGAAGCAGATCAAATCAGAGCACCTGACTGTGTGTGGAGAAAGCAGGAGACCTCTGCCAGCTTCTGGATGGTGACATGGGGACCCTTGAGATAACTTCTGCCTGTAGAGTCACTAGACCTTAGGTGGTGGGGACTGTACCCAAGACAG